ATTTTTACTTGAAAGGATTCTTAAAAGAACGAAAGAGAATCAAACCCGATTTATTGAAGTAAAATTTTACTATATTATTTATTAGTAATATCACAAATATAAATTGTATAACACACAAACGATAAAAAATTATAAAGAGATTTTTATATATCTGATATATTATATAAGTTATAACATAATATATAATTTAATTTATTATTTAACACTAATTTTAATGTTGTCTGATAAATTTTATTCAATTAGGTCGATCGAATATCAATCAAACCATTTTGTCGTATTCCGATTTGATTTTCTGAGCTTATTGTACATATTATTATATAGCGTATTAAATATTAAAAGATTATATCTCATCATGACAAAATAGTACATTTAATTGATATTAATGGATCTATTAATTAAATGATAATAATTAATCAAACACTATTAATCGATAATAATTAATTATCATCAGTAATGTGTGCTTTCGTTTTTCCTCTCTCGTTAGATGTGTTTCCGCCGGAAAGTAGCGATCGGGTATATATCTTGCGCAATAATTATCACCTTCATTATCATTACTAAAGCAAACAGAGTCCATCCTTTCCCGAAGGTAACCAGCGCAATGCGACACATGCGGTGTAACGCGGGAATTAATTAGGAACGGTTGCTGCCCGAATACTCTTGCGTCTACGCGCGAAACTCGACAGGAATTTTCCATTTACGAACCGCATGGACATCACACATACACGAGAGACTAATATGCACCTGTGTACCAGAAAGCCGTCGCGTATGCTCGAATCAATTAACATATTGCGCGTTTGCACTAATGGTCGAAGGGGAGACAGGTAGATAGGTACATTCGCACGCCTGTGCCCTGTCGCAATCAGAGTTTAATTACATGTATAGTAATTTGCTAATTACCGTTCATTCTATACTCGCAATTCGTCGCGAATCGATAGTTTGGAGAGTTACTGTCTTTCTATATTTGGACCATTTATATTTGTGATCGATTAGTGCAATGAGCTAATTGTAATAATAATAATAATAATAATAAAAAGAAGAAGAAAACGCTAACAATAATAACAATCTCTCTCTCTCTCTCTCTCTCTAAATAAACGTGAATATATGTGTAAATTTTACATATAAAATATTCTTCTCCCCTCATATTTTTTTAATCAATTAAATTTACATTTAAAGTCTTAATCTGATTGAATTCATCTAAAATTATTATTACAAAATTTCTCTCTGCCTGAAACGTCTATCTTTTTTTAATTGCAAAATTCTTTATTTAAAATTTAAATTTATACAATTTTTACAGTATGTTTTTATATAAAAAATAATCTTTTTATTTACTCTTTAAAAGTTGATATTATACGCTTCGTGTTCTGACTCTGTTATTTTCTTCTGCATCGTTTTATAGGAAGCTCGTACAGGTGCAAATCTTATTTATCGCCGTCTATAAATTATGTTAAATTGACGTTACACTCTCGAAAAGCAATACAAATTAGATCTGCCCTAACAACGCTTGCCACTCACTATCTCACTTTTCCTACAATCGCACTTCTCGTATCTGTCTCACGTTCAGCAACATTATAGTAGCAACAGTATACAAGAGGTGACTGTAGAAATATATGCGATGCACATTTTTACTTGAAAGGATTCTTAAAAGAACGAAAGAGAATCAAACCCGATTTATTGAAGTAAAATTTTACTATATTATTTATTAGTAATATCACAAATATAAATTGTATAACACACAAACGATAAAAAATTATAAAGAGATTTTTATATATCTGATATATTATATAAGTTATAACATAATATATAATTTAATTTATTATTTAACACTAATTTTAATGTTGTCTGATAAATTTTATTCAATTAGGTCGATCGAATATCAATCAAACCATTTTGTCGTATTCCGATTTGATTTTCTGAGCTTATTGTACATATTATTATATAGCGTATTAAATATTAAAAGATTATATCTCATCATGACAAAATAGTACATTTAATTGATATTAATGGATCTATTAATTAAATGATAATAATTAATCAAACACTATTAATCGATAATAATTAATTATCATCAGTAATGTGTGCTTTCGTTTTTCCTCTCTCGTTAGATGTGTTTCCGCCGGAAAGTAGCGATCGGGTATATATCTTGCGCAATAATTATCACCTTCATTATCATTACTAAAGCAAACAGAGTCCATCCTTTCCCGAAGGTAACCAGCGCAATGCGACACATGCGGTGTAACGCGGGAATTAATTAGTAGGAACGGTTGCTGCCCGAATACTCTTGCGTCTACGCGCGAAACTCGACAGGAATTTTCCATTTACGAACCGCATGGACATCACACATACACGAGAGACTAATATGCACCTGTGTACCAGAAAGCCGTCGCGTATGCTCGAATCAATTAACATATTGCGCGTTTGCACTAATGGTCGAAGGGGAGACAGGTAGATAGGTACATTCGCACGCCTGTGCCCTGTCGCAATCAGAGTTTAATTACATGTATAGTAATTTGCTAATTACCGTTCATTCTATACTCGCAATTCGTCGCGAATCGATAGTTTGGAGAGTTACTGTCTTTCTATATTTGGACCATTTATATTTGTGATCGATTAGTGCAATGAGCTAATTGTAATAATAATAATAATAATAATAAAAAGAAGAAGAAAACGCTAACAATAATAACAATCTCTCTCTCTCTCTCTCTCTCTTTCTCTCTCTTTCTCTCTCTTTACTAGTATTATTGCCATTGTTAATTAATTATTCACAGTAACGTTATAAGCCGAATGACAGAGCTATTATTAGTGTTATTAGTGATTAGTATGATATAATAATAATTTCAATGTACATAAATTAGAGAGATATTATATTGTTTTATATTAGTTTTGTTATTAATCCTATTAGTAAATTATTGATATATCGTTAGATAACATGTGAGATTATTATCATTATTATTATTGTTGCCGTTTTACGCGAGACAGTCGATATCGCCCCGCGTCAAGATTGATTATTCGCATCGACGAATGCAGTCGCATCGGCGCGGAAATTCAATCGTACAAACCGACATGTGAGTTTTCCACTTCCCGCAGCCACAATCGTTGTGACATTAATTTCAAACGAATCGGCAAATACACGAGCATGTATATCGAATGAGCTCGAATTAATTAATGACTTCTATAATGCGCGTCGCCGTCGAGTTTTATAATCTCGCGAAAATTCAATGTATTTTCAGAGTATTTGAAGTCAAATATTGTTTTCCTTCCGTAGCAAAATAACGTTTTTCGAATGAGACATCATTTCTGATACGAAAAGTCAAGATAAATTTTGAATTATTGGGAAAACATGATTCATTATTTTAAACAATTGCTGAGAATAATTTTGACCATTCACAAAAGAAACGCTTCATTACTTTTTCTAATTCTGTTATCTTGCGCGGATTTATTAATTCTCTTATATTAAATTTTCTAATATTGCTTCTATACGATATCATTATGATTATATAAATAATGGCTTAAGTGGCACTCTTTGCATGAAGCAACGTTAACGATGGCGTTTCTTGACAGCACCACAGTAGTGCATCAACCTTCCGTTACATTTACATTCACGATGCAGCGAAACGTACAGACCGAAGCTATATCGGTATTATTACATTTGCATGTGAATGCAATTCACGTTCCTATCGTGAGAGAATAATTCACCCTACATTGAATATCCATTCAATACCGGTACTCGGTGCGATTATCTTGTCGGACATCTTCCCATCGATGTCGCAGCAGAAGCGTCAACATAATGAGTGTACATATTTATTATTTTAACACGTGATAATATTCATGAACCATAGACAAATTTTCATCGCGCGCTGAAAGCGACATCAGAAAAATGAAAGCGAGAAAATGATATTATATACAAATACAATAATTTACAAGATGACACGAGATTTTTGGACCACTCTTATTTTTCAGTTATTAATAAATGTTCCTAATTTGTTTTTCTTTATTCTTTTCATGTTATTGTCCTTATCCTTGTTTTCCTTTGCTTCTTATTTGGTTTGTTGACTTTTAGTATTATCTCTTATGTTTTTCCTCAGTCATGTTCTCTCTCCTTGTGTTGTTTTGCTTATTTAATATTGTGTCGCTCTATAGATCATTTTCTGTTCATACAGACATCAATTTTTATACGGACTATTTCCAATATTTAATTTTAACGATATTCTCATTAATTTTTATTTCACATGATCTCTCTCTCTCTCTCTCTCAATAATATAGTTTTACTAATTAATCATTGCATAATTAATAATCCAAAGTGTTAAATATGGGGGAAGGAATGACAAATATATTAATATGACATAAATGTTTGAGAGCAAACCTACCTTTGACACACATTATTTGCATTCAGTCAGAATTAAATTTCCGCGTGCATGCAAACATAAACGGTTGCGTGTATAGATTCCACGTGCGGTATAGTTTGAAATGTGAATGTCGAAGATTCACGAAATAGCGGAAAGTCCAAAATCGCATACCAGCAGTCCATAACTGGAATTACCACTGCAAGTTCCATCTATATGCTCGACCAGCTAGTTGGTCCAATTAGTCGCGGGCCGACGTTGAATCCGGAAATTACAATGCGCTGTCGGTGACAGGCACAAAAAGGAGACGTGAGGGATGTCGTACGCTTTCTATAGAATGCGTCCCATTAGCAAACGCTTGCCAAATGGCGTCGTGGGAACCATTATCGAGAGTTAGATATGTCATTCGATTGAAAAATCCAAGTAAATAATAAAGGATCAGAGCAAAATGTAATGTGGAATAAATCGCAAAAATATTACGACAAATATACGTTATTAATTTGAAAATAATTAAAATAAACTACAAAAACATTTAAAAATTATAAAAAACAATTATAAATAAATTATATAATTGTTGATGAATAATAAATTCACGTGACTGCATAATTTATAATGAATGTATAGTTCTTATTTTTAATAAGGGAATGATTTCTGTTACAGAACTTGAAGAATCAGATCATGACGACAAATCTGTGGGTGGAACAGGTAAGCGATAAATGATTTATTTTGAAACGTTCAATTCTCGTGAATGTTTTATCTCTGTTAAACATCTTCATCTCATGATCTTTCATAATTTATCACGAGATAAAATGCTCGAACTTTTAATATTATCCAACAACTTTAACCAAGTTGAATAATTCAAGTAATATATTGTAAAATAAATCGTAAAAGATCGTTTTTCCCCCAACCTGCAACGTGACACGCAAAAAGTTTGATAAAAAGAAAATACCAGAGACAACTTACATTGCTACTTGTAATTGGACCATTACAAATGTTAGAAAGAGAAAATATTAACGGCGCAACCGAGGGAGAAACAACGGGTGTTCTGCTACTTCGCGTTACTTGAACGCAATAACTACAAATTACTTATGTTACACTTTGTTATGTCTACCGGTGCATCTGCGTGACGTTATAAGCTTTTACTAGGTAAGATAAGATGGAATAAAAAAATCAACAACGGATAATGTAATTAAATGATTTAATTGAAAATGATTTAATTGAATAATTAAGGGATCGATTAACGTAGCGATTATAGCGTGTTTTTTTGACGAAACGATTTCTCGAGAAACATCGTCATTAATCTTGGTAATAGTGAGATCGTAGTACGGCTTCTAGGAAAGCGTTCGTTGTTTTTACAAAACGAGCATTTATTTTAATATTACAAAATATTACTAAAATACGTAGATAAACCACGCCAGCAAATTTTCAAGAGCAAGTCTAACAAAAAAATTTATATAAAATAATGATGAGAACTAGTAAATTTAATTATAATTAAAAGATTACATCAGGACATTACATATTTTAATTATCCGTGTAAAATTTAGATAGATATTAAAAAACGTTTCCTTATTTCTGCTGTTTTAAAATTTCTTTTGAAATTTAATTAAACATATTAATAAATAATTAATCCTTAGAAAAATATATCAATATATTCTGACGATACCCCTTTTCTCAATTACTACAAAATTCACCCAGGATCTTTTGGAACAGAACACGGCTTTGACGCTTTTCATAGTGCATAAAATCGCGAAATAGATCATATGTCGAACGCTATTCGTCGATTTATATCACGATTCATATCCCGAGCCATACGGTTCGCGGACTGTCGTCTGGTCGAGTTGCAGCCCGTTGCGCGAGTTGCATTTCTGTCTGCACGTGTGTTGTACGTGTATATGGCGAAGCATTCCCGACGCGTCTCGCGGAGCGACGCGCCATCCCTCAATGTCGAAACCACCCTCTACTCTCGGGGGCAACCGGTCGCCGGCAACCCCCGGCTGTTGTTAGTGTCGGCGCGCACTCTTGTCTCGTTCAGGACCGTCTCCACATGAGTCCCTCGCGTTACATCGCTTCCCGTTTTCAGTTCTTTAGATAGCAAATTTTGTCACGCGGCATATAATCAGAAATGTTTTTTTATGCATACTTAATATAATGAGAATGAGAATAAGAATTAGAAAATATTATTTGGACAGGTATTTAAGTGATATTTTAGATCAGATTTAATTTTCGATTGCAAAGAAAATATTACTTTGATAACCTGGTACGAATATACCATAAAAAATTATTTAAAATCATTATTAATAATTTTATTATATTATTATACAAATTGCGTTTCAACATCTAGTATCGTATATAAAACTGATAAATTTTTTGAAAAATTTTTAGTTGGTAAATGAAAAATACATTTATATAAAATATATGTATATATACACTCTGTCACATTATTGTATAAAAATATATTTATATATAAAGTGAAATAATCTTCTAATATTGATAAGAAATTTGATCAAGTTCAAAATTACAATACTAATTTTGTTAGTTAGAGTCGTCCCTGATCTCGTAGTGCTTTGACATAGACGTATAACTAACATGTAGCTAACCGATTTGCTCTTGGTGCAATGTGCTACATATGCGACACGCAGTGATAACGAAACCCAGGTTTTGCGACGTGCGCTTTCGTGTAACGCACATAAAAAGTAACTTTTTTTTAAATGTCAGAACTTTCATCGTAAATTTCCCTTTAACATCTCGTAATCCAATGTTATCTCTTTTCGGGATTTTAAACATTTTGTACATAAAAATAAACCCACTTTTTGAAAGATAAATTAAGAGAGAGAGAGAGAGAGAGAGAAGATGGAAAGCTTTTGCACGCTCGAATTGTGCACGAATACAGGATTAGATTTTACGAATGATTTATCGATCAAGTTATCGGTTAAATCGAATGGTGGATGAATAAGTTTATAATTATGTCAAGAGAAAAACTGTCTACCATTATATATATGGAATATACATAAAATATATATCGCCAATAAATTATCCGAGTATAATGTACTTAAAAATATTGGCATATTGCATTCATTTACAGATTTTCCGATTATCATCTCTGTTTGAAAAATGGACAGACATAAATAAATTGATACTAATACAAGTGAAGCGAAAACGTTTTTATATCCAGACGCAATTTACGAACTGGACATCTTTTGACTATAACTTAAATCGTAATCTTTAAATGCACGCGAAAATATACAGCATCGTCGCGCATATTTTTTAGTTTTTTACGGCCGTTTGTTTGTAGAAGCTCGTAATAAAAAGTTTGTTTTCATCTTCACTATTTTCTACCTGCAGTATACTTTTATATTCGCTTCACCGTCTATACAAAAAGATAATATATCGTATGTGATAAATTTGCTAGTGTATAAGAGAATGTCGCAAAATTTGAACATAGACAATTTTTATAGCATTTTCATCATACGAGTGTAAGAAAAACGAATATATATAAATGTGATATTTATAAAAAGAATATATATAATTTTTATTTATATTTTTAAAATAAAATTTACATTTTCTCAGCGATATATTCTCGTATACTACCTCGGAAAAGTAACAATAGCGGGAGGTGTAACAATATTGATTGTGCCTTAAGATATGAGATCTTGGCACGTAACATTCCTCCAATATGAAACGCAATTCTTACACGGGAGCGCATATGGCGCGATACTTGCGCGATTTACTCTCCGACGAAATAGCGAAGTACCTGCGGAAGCTTTTCCCGTATGTGCCGAGTTGCACGAATTTAATTATGCCGCGAAATCGACCCCGTACATATCGACGAATCCGCAAGTGAAATTACTTCTCCTTGCTCGAACACGAAAACGAATTAAATTGTGCGGCAAAGTACGTCGCCAGTTAGTCTGCGAGTTCGTAGATTAATTGTGCAAGCAGTGAAATTGGTTAAAAAAAAAAAGGAAGAAAAGACATTGTGAAATGAATAATACGTAAATATACTACTTGATACGCTCTCGACGAAACAACAAAATATGAAAACTAAACAATTTTTTAATGGAAAAATTATTTGTTGCAAATTATGCCCGAGTGTCGATCTTAATGTGTGAAAATTGCGACGTAGTTTTAAAATATAATATTTTCATGTCGGCATTTTCACGAATAATTAAACAACGTAGAATATATAATTAATGGTTTGCTTAAACTCTGATAAAATTGAATAAAATTTTTTATCTTATTCACGTTTTACTTTAAATAAACGTATATTTTAAGTAATAATTAACCAACACAAAAAATTATATATATTAAATATATATTGCCGCGTTTATATGTGTGAAAGAAAAAGAGAAAGATAGACATTGTTAATTTTTAAGCAGTTCTGCTCTTTCCTGCTTCTTTAATTACGTTTCAATAATAACGCATACTTGACTTTAAATTATTATTTTATCTATTTTCTCTCCTATGTTTCGTGAATTTAATTTTTTGAAAAGAAAATTATATATTTGGGCTTCTCTCCCTGACATTTACAATTGATAGATAAAAAGTGAGATTTCAGAACAAAGGTTTACAAAGCCGCGTTCTTTTGAGCGAATCGAACGAACGGTAGTCAATACATCGAGAATAAATTGATAGCAACGGCAACTATCCTATCGACGACCCCGTTATCTGCAAACACCTTGTTCACACTCTTACCCTGACTCCCTTACTTTTTTTATCTTGACACTTGCATATCACTTACATGCTTATCAGACATCACTTGCCATCTGCCCTTATCTATCCTTCGATTCTCCCTTGTTATTTTCCATCTTTTTTCTTCAGAAGTCTTGTATATCGTTTCTGTATTTTCTTTCTATTATCTTTAACGAGTTCTAATTTTCCGCTCCTTATTTCCACCTTCTTGTTTGCAGCCAGATTTAAAATTTAATTAAAATTTTTTTTGTTTTTTTAATCTTTGCTTACCTTTTGTTTTTGTTAATATCTTCTAATTTATTGTCCGACGTTTATCTTCCTTTGTCTTTTATTATTTTAAATCCATCTTAAGCTTTCTCTTTACGCTATTTTCTAGTCTTTATGCTTCTTTATTGTTTCACTTCTAGTAGTCTTTGTCTGTTATATTTTCTTTTATTGCCACCTCAATTTTCTTTCTTCTTTTCTTCATTCACCGCTCGTAGCGTCATCAGGTCTCCTTTTTCTCTCTCCGTGTCTCTTTTTCCGCTCCATTATTTTCTCGCTCTCATCTGCACTGTCTTTTCTTTTCCCCTTTTCGTTTTTTGCATTTTGAGCTCACTTGCTCTCATCAATCTGGCATTTAATTCGTCTTAAATAAAATTAGCATGCTGATAATTCGCTCCAGGTGTCTGATAATCCTTTATATTTTTTTTATTTTCCAATCCCACGTCGTTATCTAAATAAATCGGGTTCCCGCGCGAAAACAACGAAGACTTGCTTTTCCTCTCTCTGTTACGGCAAAAAGCTCGCGTTTGCCGGAAATATACGACGTTTACAACGCGCGCGATATACACACCGACCGATTACAATAAATCAAATTTTTCAAGCGGTTACAAGATTTCCGCGTCAAGTAGATTTTCCCGCACGAGATAAAGACCGTCTTGCAAATTTTTTCTCAATGCATATACACAATTCTGCTATCTTTTTACAACGTAGTTCGTTCATTTTGCCATTGTACGATTTAAATATTTGCGGAA